GCTTCAACAATTATCAACTCATGGCCAATTTTATTTTCTTACCCAATGATCCAGCAATCCCATGCTTAGGTATTTGTCCAAGAGAAATGAAAATATATGCTCCACAAAGACTTGTACATGAATCTTTATAGCAGCTTTACTTGTATCAATAATAGCCACGAAAAAAATCTAGACATGTCCACCAACTGGTGAATGAATAAACAGACTGTGGTATATGCATACAATCAGTTACTCATTCATTCAACAAATATTTGACACCTACTGAGTGCCAAGCACTGTACTTAGCACTAGGTATACAGTGATGACCAAGACAGACAGGTCTCTGTCCTAAGGAAGCTTATATTCTAGCTTACAACAAAAAATTCCCTACTAACACAGAAAGAAAACAAGATTAGTTTTGACTGAAGATAAATTTTGTGAATACAAGAGACACACTATTTTCAAAAGACTAATTTGAAAAAGGCTTTTGCCAACTGAACATCTATCAGACATAATCTTTAACAAATCTATAACTGAGTTCATTAAGGCTCTTTTACCTTTAAATTTTTTAAATACAAAATATGTGAACTCATTCTTGATGCAAACATTTCAAACAATACATATAGTTTAAATGCCCTTCAACTGCCCCTCCCAAATCCTCAGTTATCAGTTTGGTGTGCATTCTTTCAGATCTTTTTGTCAACGCATTTGTTCTGTGTTTTTTGTTTTTATATACATAATATATTGTACTCACTGTTCTACAATTTGCTTACTTCACTTAATGGTCTTAGATGTCTTTCTATGACAGTAAATATGGGTATTCCTCATCTTTTTTAATGCCTGCAGACTATGGATGGACAAAGTTTATCTAACTTTTCCTATTGATGAATATTTAGGTTGTTTCTAACTTAAAAACAAGGCTACAATGAACATCCCTGCACATACCTTGTATACATGTGTTGGTGTTCTCTAAGGTAGGATTTTTCAAACCCACAAGTGAGTTATGAAATCAATTATGCAGTAACTAGGATTGTATCTGATAAAATAAAACAGAACACAATAACAAAGAGAGATGGAGAGAGGAAATTTAAGAACATTACCCTTGTAAGGGTGAAGATTATCCCATCAAACATTTGTTACACACACACACACACACACACACACACACACACACACACAGAGGTATGTGTGTACTGGGTCATAATGTAAAACATTTCTTACTGTGGCTTGTATTAAAAAAGTGTCAAAAACAAATGCTCTACGGTATATTCTGAGAAGAGACATGTTTAAGTCCAAGGAAATGTATATATTAATTAGGAATTTTAAAAACTATTCCTGAGCTTAGCAAATCTCTAACTCCCTTAAATGAGACATCGCTGTATGTACATAAATAGTTACCCACACTTTATTTTCCAAGTATCTTTGGCAATCAGTATCAGACTTAGGTTACCAAAAATTTCAATTGATGCTGACCAACCCTAATATTCCTTATTATAAGTAATTTCTTTAGCTATCAGTTAAAAAGAGGTTCCTTCCAACAATTTTATCATTTGTGCTTTATCATCCTTTCTTTTTCTTTTTAGAGACAGGGTCTTGCTCTGTTGCCCACACTAGAGTGCAGTGGTGTGCTCACAGCTCACTGCAACCTCCAACTCCTGGGCTCTAGCAATCCTCCTGGCTCAGCCTCCTGAGTAGCAAGGATTATAGGTACACGCCACGATACCTGGCTAATTTTTAAAATTTTTTTTGTAGAGACAGGGTCTCCCTGCGTTGTCTAGGCTGTCTCAAACTCCTGGCCTCAAGAGATCCACCCACCTTGGCCTCCCAAAGTGTCAAGATTACAGGATTGAGCCACCATGCCTGGCTGCGCTTTATCATCTCTGACACACAGTGGTCCCCCTTTATCTTTGGGGGTATACATTTCAAGACCCCCAGTGGATCCCTGAAACCACAGATATACTAAACCCTATATATGCTATGCTTTTTCCTATACATACATAGCTATAATAAAGTTTAACTTATAAATTAGGCAAAGTAAGAGATTAACAACAATAACTAATAATAAAATAGAACAATTGTGACAATATGCCAGCATCACTACTCTTGTTCTTTGGGCCATTATTAAGTAAAATAAGGATTACTTGACCACAAGCACTGCAATTTTGCAACATCTGGTAACTGAGAAGTACGCAGCAAGAATATGCTGGACGAAGGGAGAATTTACATCCTGGGCGGGACAGGGTGGGACAGAGTGAGATTTCATCACACTACTCAGAATGGTGTGCAATTTAAAACTTCAGAGTTTATTTCTGGAATTTTCCACTTAATATCTTTGGACCCCAGTTGATGTTGGGTAATTGAAACTGCAGAAAGTAAAACCAAAGATAAA